GATCGGTCAATATTTAGCTGGTCAAATGGACCCTGACTTTTGTGTGAAAAATTACAAAATTTGTATTCTATGTATTCTATATATTTGCACCTGAAGGTCCTAGACCCGAGAAGTTGATAGTATGTTCAAGAGGAGTGGTTGACATTTAAATTGATACCAATTATGTTGTAGTATGTACTCGGATGTGGGACTTACACATAAATATTTACAGGTGCTTACGTATTCATATATTAGAGGGCGGAAGTATAGCGCTGATCGCTTTGAAATTTTTCATGAGATTCAAGTTATGGTCACCGACAACGCCTATAATTTTCGGTGATGATCATATAATAAGTTTGGGATGAAGTGGAACGAAAACTTATTTTTGGGTGTGTTTTTTTTTCGAGTCGATCTATAGGCCAAAATTGAAAGCCGAACATCACAACCCACGATGAAGGGAATCTGGACAAGTGATTAGAAGGGCTGTACTGAATATTTGTTGAGCAAATATTTGTTGGTCAAGAGGGAGTAAATATCGCGAAATATTGCCTAAGCTCAGAATATAGATCCACAGAAAGTTATAGTTTCGTGGAAGTTGTGTAGGGTATCATATGGTCGGCCCCGTCCGACTATACTGCTCCGCTCATTGTTTTTTGAAAAAGCTTCCTCTGTCACAGGAATTTTTATACCCTTCACCACACTGTGGTACAGGGTATTATGTCTTTGTGCATATGTTTGTAACAGGCAAAAGGAATCGACATAGACACATTTGAAAATATGCATAGAATTACTTTCTGAGTCGATTTATTCATGTCCGTCTGTCCGTACGTCCCTCCGTCGGTCTGTCCATGATACATTGTAAACAAGGTGCAGGTTGCATTTATTATCCGAATTGGATGAAATTTGGCACAAGTCACTTATTTGGCCCAAGGATGAACCCTATTGAAATTGGGAAAAATCGGTTCAGATTTAGATATAGCTCCCATATATATTTTCGCCCGATTTAAGGTAAATGGTGTACCAAAGTCTTTTCATATAATTCGATTTGCACGAAATTTGGCACAGCGTAATGAATTTTGTCTAGAATGATGTGTGATTAGTTTTGTGAAAATGGATTCAGATTTAGATATAGCTCCCATATATATTTTCGTCCGATTTAAGGTAGATGGTGTACCAAAGTCCCTTAATAAGCGTAATGAATTAGGTCTAGAATGATGTGTGCTAAGTTTCGTGAAAATCGGTCAGATTTAGATATAGCTCCCACAATATTTTCGTCCGATTTAAGGTAAATGGGGCTCCAAAGTCCCTATATATCCTTCGATGTGCTCGAAATTTGGCATAGCGTACTGAACTATGCCTAGAATGATAAATAGTGAGTTTCGGGAAAATCGGTTCAGATTTCGATGTATCTTCCATATGTATTTTCGTTCAATTTTATGTAAATGGTGCACCAAAGTCCCTATAAATCCTTCGATTTGCACGAAATTTGGAATAGCGTACTGAATTGAGCATAGAATCATGTGTGGTAATTTTCGGAAAAATCGATGCAGATTTCGATTTTGTTGCCATATATACATATATATTCGTCGGATTTTACATACATGGTGGGCCAAATTACCAATGTTTATTGCGTTTTATTGACATTTCTGCAGATGAAGACATAGCTTCCATAGCTTTCGAATTATTATTAAAAATAAATTTTTAACATCAATTTTGCTATAAATCGTTTTCCATAGATTTGTCCCATGGTACGCAGGCGATACTAAATCTGGTCGAATAAAATTAAATTTATCATAGGTTGCAGAAAGACAGGATTATGTTCCTTCGATGTAATTGTAAAGATGCCATGTAATTGTAAAGATACATATGACCATATACATACATATGAATAGTCGGCATTTTCAAGCTTTCAGACAAATTTTTGGATGTAAATAGGTATTTTGTGTTTACATTAAGTATTTAATCTCCGTACGAAAAATTATCAATATTGGTTCATGTGTCGAGGTAGCCCTCATATAACGGTACACACATTATTCGGTATTTTGAGTTTTTTTTCACATTTTACAACCTAATCAGTTCTAAGTTGGTATTTTGGGTCCTCACTAGATTGGAAATCTTTCTATTAAAATGATCAATATAGGTCCATTTTATAGAGTAGCGCCTACATCCCAAATTTCGGTATGAATCCAGTTCGCTGTAATTTTATATCTTCGTAATTTTATATCTTTATATCAAGTTTCCTGATAGCCCCCATTAATTTTACCCCCAATATTCCGTAGTTTGGGGTTTTTTGGCTGTAAATCTTTCTATCATGGCGTGTCAAGTTCGCATTTCCCCCATCAAGTGGCTGTAACTTGCTATAAAAGGGTTATTAAAGTTTGACATAAATGAATATAGGTCCATTTTTGGACATATCCCTCATATAAAGTAAGCGCCCTATTGCAAGTATTTTTAATGTTTTAGTCGCATTTTCCAATTGATTGTGGCTGTAATTTGGCATAAAGGGATTGTGGAGGGTAAAACCCCGATTTAAGGAAAATTGTCTATATAAGTCCATATTTTGATGCGTTGTAAAGAAATCTTCATTGAAACATCCACGCCCAATAGTCATTGAACTAGTCTTCATTGAAAAATCCAAGGCTAGAAGTCATCGAAAAATTCTTCATTGAAAAATCCACGCCCAATAGTCCTTGAAAAAGTTTTCGTTGAAAAATCCACGCCTAGAACTCTCGAAAAAGTCTTAATTGAAATATCCACGCATAAAAGTCCTTGAATAAGCCTTCATGGACAAATCCACGCCTAAAAGTCCTTGTAAAGAAATATTCTTTAAAAAATCCAGTCCTTTAAAAATACACGTCTAAAAGTCCTTCAAAAAAAACCACGCCTAAAAGTTCTTCTAAGAAATGTTCTTTTAAAAATCCTCATTCTATCCCGAGTCCTTGTGGGTCTTTTCCGTCCTTATTTCCTTGAATCGTATACTAATTACCACACATGATGTACCTCCAAATAATCAATAAAATTGCTTTAAGGTGGGGACCCTACCAAAAATCAATATTAGTATATTTTTGTCATTCTGTCATACAAAGAAAGATCTACACTTTTTCTTTCATGAACTTTGGAGTTTACCTCTTTTCGTTAAAACCTCCATGATGTATTTTTTTTTTAATTATTCTTAAACTCAAGAATAACCCCTAAATATAACAAAGAAATTTTTTATGTATTTTTTGATTACGGTTTTCAATGAAAAAATCCTGCTATAATTAAGTACAAAAAAATGACCCAATCAAAATTTAAAACATACCCATTTTAAAGAACAACTTCAAGTGGCGGACAATTCATTATATGTTCAATTATTTAAATTTTTATTTTTCAAATTTATTAGCTTATTTTTAAATTTAAATTCTTAATAATCGCTTTCTTTTGTCAAGAAAATCTCCCAGACATGTCTATCAATTACACTAATTGAATTGCCTTTAACAATTATTTCATTCGTTCGTCCATCTTTACAGCTTAATGTTGCCGGTTTAACGAAGGCCTTAGTTGTTTACAAAGTCTATCAAACCATGTTTCGTGTTGTCAAGGAATCTGAAACGGTGGACAGTCGCCAACATTGTTTTCTGCTGCAGAGTGCCGGCCATGAGCCGCGCTATCTAAGTGTTGAGACACGACAAGAGCTATTGCGCATCGAGAACAGTTGGAATGCAGCCATAGTAACGAGTGTCATTAAATTGGGGGTAAGTAAACGAATTGAGGGGGAGTGGAGCCGTCGGCTCCCCCAAAACACAAGCAAAAACAAATAAAAAAGCAGGCCAATACAATATTCCTTAATACTATCAGTAACACCATCATCCTCACCATCATCCATATCGTCACCAGCACCATCTCAATACGAGACAATGTATTCATTACTTCCATTAACAATCTGCCTCCTTTGGGACTGCTAGTCCTTGAAAAATTCTTCTTTAAAAATCCACGCCTTTGGGACTGCTAGTCCTTGAAAAATTCTTCTTTAAAAATCCACGCCTTTGGGACTGCTAGTCATTGAAAATGTCTTCTTTAAAAATCCAAGCCTTTGGGACTGCTAGTCCTTGAAAAAAATTCTACTCCCTAATAAAAATCCACCCTTTGGACTGCTAGTCCTTGAAAAATTCCTCTTTAAAAATCCACGCCTTTGGGACTGCTAGTCCTTGAAAAATTCCTCTTTAAAAATCCACGCCTTTGGGACTGCTAGTCCTTGAAAAATTCTTCTTTAAAAATCCACGCCTTTGGGACTGCTAGTCCTTGAAAAATTCTTCTTTAAAAATCCAAGCCTTTGGGACTGCTAGTCCTTGAAAAATTCTTCTTTAAAAATCCACGCCTTTGGAACTGCTAGCCCCTGAAAAATTCTTCTTTAAAAATCCACGCCTTTGGGACTGCTAGTCCTTGAAAAATTCTTATTTAAAAATCCACACCTTTGGGACTGCTAGTCCTTGAAAAAATCTTCTTTTAAAATCCACGCCTTTGGGACTGCTAGTCCTTGAAAAATTCTTCTTTGAAAATCCACGCCTTTGGGACTGCTAGTCCTTGAAAAAATCTTCTTTAAAAATCCACGTTTATAGTTCGAATAGTCCCTGAAAATTTTTACTTCCTGAAAATTCCAGCCTGTAGATCTGCTATTCCCTGAAAATTTATTTTCTAAAAATCCACTACTGTAGGTCTCCTAGTCCCTGAATAAATCATTCTTTAAAATCCACGCCTGAATGTCAACATTTATTTTTTATTTATTTTTAGAAGAATAAGGTATTGAAATATATACTCCTTGAACGTTATCCTCTATTCCGCTAATGTGATAATTATTATTACCGATGATTGATTATAAAATCAATGACCACCTCATTACAAAAAAATCTTTGCTAATTATATGTTTTGCATATAAATACCACAACATTACAACTAATTAAAAATATTCACTAAGTACCCAGTCGAGAGTTCACCACGATTTTCACTCTCCTCCACTGAAAAAATAAAAATCCAATTTTAACATGAATTCCCGGGAACATCGTGAACTATTGGAAATCTTCTATAAAAAACAATCGTATGTTTTTCGCCTGCTGGCTTTGTGGAAATTGCCGGATACGGTATCGGACCGTTTTCGTCTACTACATCGTTTCTATTTCTATTTCATACTCTTCTTTTGGGTGTTATCCTTCGACGCGAGTTGCCTGATTCAATTCATATCGAATATCAGCGATTTGAATGAAGTCATTAAGGTGTTCTTTATATTTGCCACTTCGTTGGCGGTGTTTGCAAAATTCTCAACAATTAAAATGAAAAATCATCTCTATGCGGAATTGATTGAGACCATACACGAACCGAAATATCGTCCCGTCAACAGCCGCGAGGTGAAAATTTTCCGCGAGACACATCGTCTGTGTGGTAGGGTGCGTAATTTTTATCTCGTGATCTCGTTGTGTGCCCTCAATGTCGTTATGCTGACTCAGTATATTTTTGATAATTCCGAATTACCCCTCTCGCTATATAATCCGATTAATATTGATACGAAGCTACGCTATCGTCTAATGTATTTGTATCAATATATTGCCGTATCGATTTGTTGTTATATGAATATTGCCTTTGATTCGATCTCCGCCTCGTTTATGATTCACATCAAGGGTCAATTGGATATTCTGTGTGATCGTTTGGAACATTTGGGTATGGATTATGAGAGCAGTGATGAGGTGATTACGGCCCAGTTGAAAAATTGCGTCAAATATTATGGTGATATTATACATATTGTTCGTATAGCTGAGGATTTGATAAGTTTTCCAATATCGATACAAATTGCATGTTCGGTGTTGGTATTGGTGGCGAATTTTTATGCAATGTCATTTGTAAGTATTAAAAAAAAGGATTAGTTTCAACACTTTTTTTAATTAAAACAATTTTTAAAAAATCCACGCATTTTGATAACCCTTCAAAAATATTTTTTTAAATCCACGTCTTGTGGTAGTCCTTGAAATTATCCTTGGTAGTCCAAATTATCTTGTGGTAGTCCTTGAAATTATCCTTGGTAGTCCAAATTATCTTGTGGTAGTCCTTGAATTTGAAATCGCATTGTCGTATTTCTTGAGAAATATTTTTTTAAAAATCCACGCCTTGTGTTAGTCCTTAAAAATATTTTTTAAAAAATCCACGCATTGTGGTAGTCCTTAAAAATAATAAAAAAAACACGCCTTGAGTTAGTACTTAAAAATAATTTTTAAAAAATCCACTCCTTAGTCTTTAGCAATAATTTTTATAAAAATCCACGCCTTGTTTTAGTCTTACATAGCTGGCTTGTGACAGAACTTTCGTTACATAAGCCGAGCTTAAAAAAGATTTCCAAGCGCGTCGGTCTTTTGCGCAGTTTTTCCAATTTGAAAGACCATTTTCGGCAATGTTGTCTCCCACTTGATCTTTCCATCTTATTCGTGGCCTTCCCCTTCTGCGTGCACCATCAACTAGTTCGCTTTTACATGCCTTTTGGGCTGGGGCATCTTCATCCATTCTCCATACGTCTAACAATGCCGATGTCCGAGAATAGCTGGTACATCTCATGGTTCATTCGACGGCGATATTCACCGTCAACGCAGATCGGCCCATAGATCTTTCGGAGAATTATTCTCTCAGACACTCCAAGAGCTGCCTAATCTGCTTGCGTAAGTACCCATGCTTCAGATCCATATAATAGCACGGGTAGTATCAGCGTCTTGTAGAGTGTGAGTTTGATCTGGCGAGAGGTGGCCTTGCTTTTGAGTTGCTTACTCAGACCATAGTAGCATCTGTTGGCCAACACTATACTTCTCCGAATTTCAAAACTGATGTCATTAGTTTTATTTATGACCGTACCAAGGTATGAAAAATCGTTGACTACCTCGAATCTATAGTTCTCAAGTTCCACAGTTGGTACGAGTCTAGTGGAGGTCTTGCGCGTTGATACCATCAGCTTGGTCTTCTCGCCGTTTACTGCCAGACCCACTTTGGCAGACTCCTTCTCAATTTGTTCAAAGGTGGCTGTTACCGCTCTCAATGTTCGACCCATTATGTCGATGTCATCGGCGTAGGCAAGTAACATGTGTTGTTTGGTATACAGAGTGTCATTTCTGTTCACCTTTGCCTCTCGCATGACCTTTTCCAGTAGGATGTTAAACAAATCACACGACAAACTGTCACCTTGTCTGAATCCTCGTTCGGTATTGAAGGGCTCCAATAGGTCCTTTCCTATTTTAACTGCTGATCTTGTGCCAGTTAAAGTTATCCTGCATAGCCGAATTAATTTTGCAGGAATGCCAAACGCAGACATGGCTTTAAACACTTCTGAACGGATAGGGCTGTCGAATGCGGCTTTATAGTCGACGAATAGGTGGAATGTGTCGATGTGCTTTTCGTGGGTTTTTCCAGGATTTGGCGCAGAGTGAAAATCTGGTCAATGGTGGATTTGCCAGGTCTGAAGCCGCATTGGTATGGTCCGATGATGTCATTGACCATTGGCTTCAATCGTTCACACAGCACACTGGATAGCACTTTATATGCGATGGAGAGGAGACTTATTCCTCTATAGGTGGCACATATCGTCTTGTCTCCTTTTTTGTGCACGGGACATAGGACGCTAAGGTTCCAATCATTGGGCATGCTTTCCTCTAGCCAAATTGTAATAATCAGCTGGTGCATGCTCCTTACCAGCATCTGACCACCAGTTTTGAATAGTTCGGCTTGTAAGCCATCGGCACCTGCTGCTTTATTATTCTTTAGCCGATTGATTACTATTGTGACCTCATCTTGGCTAGATGGTATACACTCTATACCGTCATCTATTATTGGTCCTGGGTATCATATTCATCGCTACTATTTGATACCAAAAGTCTTTCAAAATGCTCCTTCCAGATCCTCAGCACTCTGTCTGTATCTGTCACCAGGTTTCCTTCTTCATCTCTACAGGATGATGAGCCTGCACCAAAACCTTCGGTTTGGTGTTTTACTCATTGGCAAAATGTCCGGACTACATTCTGACTCCGATCAGTTCTAGTTCTTTCTTCTTTTTATGAAAATACGTTTCTCTTTTCTCCTTTTCCCTCCTAGCAATCGTGCCATGGATTTCTTGGTGGTGGTTTTGGGTACCCAAGTGTTGCTTTTGCTGCAGTATGTAGGGAGTGGGCAATTCTTTGCTTTTGTGCTTCTATACTATTATTGGGACAAGAAGTGCTTTCGTCAAGCAGGTGTGTAAGGTGAGCGGAGTAGGCCTCTGCCACTTGTTGTGTTTGCAGCTTTTCGACGTCGAGTTTCCGTGTTACATTAGATCGCACCTTTGCTGCAACATTAAGACGAGTGCGAACCTTGGCTGCTACAAAGTAGTGGTCCGAATCGATATTCGCTCCTCGGATCGATCGAACGTCTAATACACTGGCTGAATGCCTTTCGTCTATCACAACATGATCAATTTGATTTCTCGTTATTCGATCGGGAGAAATCCAAATGGCTTTGTTTATATCGAGATGCTTGAATCTGATGCTGCTAACTACCATGTTTTGTTGCTCCAGCGAAGTCAATCAACCTCATGCCGTTGTTGGATGTTTCTTTATGGAGGCTGAATTTTCCGACGGTGGGGCCAATGATATTTTCGCTTCCGATTTTTGCATTAAAATCTCCTAGCAGAAATTTAATGTCATGGCCAGGGCAGCGGTCATATGCTGTTATTAGGCGCTCGCAAAATATATCTTTGGTCTGTTCATCTTTGTCTTCGGTCGGAGCATGGGCGCAAATGAGACTGATGTAGAAGGATGTCGCTTTTATACGGATTATAGAAATTCGCTCATCTACTGGAGGGAATCTGGAGACGAGGTCTTTTATTCTCCTGTTAACCATAAATCCGCAGCCAAATTCATGTCTCGTTTCATGGCTGCTATAATACAGTGCGTAATAATCTGATTTACTGACGCCAGTCCCTTCCCATCGCATTTCCTGCAAGGCAATAATATCAGCTTTGCACTTCCTGAGTACATACGCCAAGGCGAAAAGTCTGTATCGAAAAAAAGTCCGTCGCTACAAGAAAAATCTGCTCTGAAAAGGAATGTTCTGGTGTGATGCCAAATGTCCGAACCTTGACACGTTGAATTTAATTCGTAGATGCAATTTCGGAACAATAGTCGACATAAATACAACTTATCCAGTAAAGACATTTGTAAGCCACATTACCCAATATGCCTGATGAGCCGCTTAACCAACGGCGAAACGCGTCGCATAATGGTTGGAATGTAGTATCTCTCTGGCTTCCCTTTTCATGGAAACTCCGATCATGTAGCACATTTCGAAAGAGAAATTGATAAGAAAACTGTGCCTGTTCTGTACAACGTGCGCACATTCCAAGTGCAGATTCGCAGATCGTGGTCCTTTATAAGTTTGCGGGGGCCGTTAACATTGGGGGGGGTTTGGTTCTCTTTTTTGTTGCTTTTTCATAGTAAGAGGTGTTTTCCGAGTGTGGGCAACTAACCCGACGCCTCAACCTCTTTTTTATAGTTCTTATGGGTGAACGCGCAGCACTATTTCAATTGGTGATGAAAATGGGTACCCAGGTGACACCGCGGGGAGTTGATTGTCCCCAATTTAGATGAAAGAGGGACTTCGCCATGTTAAAGCCAAAGCCGTATTTATATTCACCTACGTCACCCTTGTGTGTTAGTCCTTAAAAATAATTTTTAAAAAAACATCGTCCTTAAAAATAAATTTTAAAAATTCCACGCCTTAAGGTAGCCCTTGAAATGAATTAAAAAATCCACTTGTCCTGATAGTCCTGGAATTCTTTTTTTTAAATCGACTACGAATTTTTATACTCTACACAACTTTGTTGTCAGGGTATTATAGCTTTGTGCTGCCCCAAAAGTTTGTAACGCCGCGAAATATTGGTCCTAGACCCACCTTTAAGTATACCGATAGTCATATCTCGTCCGTCTGTCCATTATAATTTGTAAACACGATACAGGCCACAGTTATGGACCAATCTTCACGAAATTTTGCATGTAGGATGGGTTCTGGCCAATGAAGACCCCTATGGTTTTTGGAAAAGATCGGTTAATATTTAGGGGATGAAATGGAACAAAAACTTTATTTTTGTCGGTTTTTCTGGTCGCTCCAGAGGCCGCAATTATGGCCCAACCACCACGAATTTTTGCATGGAGAAGGAAATCGGACCAAAGAATAAGTATGACTGTTTTGATGAATATCGGTCAGTATTTAGCGGATCAAATGGACCCTGACTTTTGTGTGAAAAATTGCAAAATTTGTATTCTATGGGGTATATATTTGCACCTGAAGGTCCTAGACCCGAGAAGTTGATAGTATGTTCAAGATGAGTGGTTGGCCTTTAAATTGATACCAATTATATTGTCGTATGTACTCGGATGCAAGACTTACACATAAATATTTACAGGTGCTTACGAATTCATATATTATTTAGTAACCCATTAACACACTAGACGGCGGAAATATAGCGCTGATCGCTTTGAAATTTTCCATGAGGTTAAAGTTATGGTCACCGACAACGCGTATAATTTTCGATGATGATCACATAATAATTTTTGGTTGAAGTGGACCGAAAACTTATTTGTTGGTGTTTTTTTTTCGAGTCGATCTATAGGCCAAAATTGAAAGCCGAACATCACAACACAACGCACGGTGAAGGGAATCTGGACAAGTGATTAGAGGGGCTGTACTGAATATTTGTAATATTTGTTGACCTCTAGTCGGTCAAGGGTGCCCAAGCTCAGAATATTGAATCACAGAAAGTTATAGTTTGGAAGAAGTTGTGTAGGGTATCACGTCCCCGACCGACTATACTGCTCCGCTCACTGGTTAATTATTTTTTTTTTAATTTCCCAATTACAGCTCTCCGATCCCGGTGACTATGCCAATTTCATCAAATTCCTCATCTATCAGCTGTGCATGTTGTCACAAATCTACATCCTCTGCTATTTTCCCAGTGAGGTTACGGCAAAAAGTGAAGAAGTTCCCTACTATTTGTATTGTTCGAATTGGGTCTATTGGAATCGTATGAATCGTAAATTGACTTTGCTAATGATGACCCGATTCGATATACCGATACGTATTAAATCGATTAATCCGACATATACATTTAATTTGGCGGCCTTTACATCGGTAAGTATTGAAAATGGGTTAACAAAGAGAGGGGGAATGCAAGAGTAATTTTAGTTTCTTCTTCTTCTTCTTGCAGATTGTAAATTCCTCCTATAGCTATTTTGCATTGCTCAAGAGAATCAATAGTTAAGTGGATGTTGAAGTTGTGGGAGGCCTGTTGAACTTCATTAAATTATTTATAAATAATATATTTCCTTATCATTATACTTACGTCAAGAAATATTTTTGAAACACACACCCTAATATTATTACAAAAAAAAAATTTAATAACAACAAAAAATAACAAACAAACAAAAATTTTCCAGCAGACCACTCCTCACTCACTCTGTTGTTATTGTTGTTTTTATTTTATTACGCAATTCATTAAAACAATTTCTATTATCTATTATTTAATCTAGAGCATTATTAGTTGCTAACTTAGGAAATTAATAAACATTATTTATTTAAACAGTAATAATAATAAAAAATATACATAAACAAAAAATAAAAATAACTTTTTATATTTAAAAGACGTCAAAAATTAAAAACAAAAACAGAGTTGGTTGTTAGTAAACATTTTTTTTGTTAAGGTGTTCTGAGATAAATGTTGACTTGTTGTTGTTGCTTTGAGGGCCTGACTTTCTATTTTCCTTATTCATTATTAATTAGAAACAAATATTATTGTTTTGTAATTTAATTTATATAAAATGAAAAACTATAAAAAAACAATTTGCACTTATTTTGGCATAGAATAATAATAAAAGAATTTATTTAATTCGAAAATAAATCACAAACATAAACAATAGCTTTTTTATTAAATTAAAATATTATTTGTTTAATAAAGAGTATTATTTTATAGACATAAAAAATGTGTTTATATAAACTATTATATTATTATTATTTTTTTTTATATCAGAACAAGTGTGATATTGGTGTGGTCAAGAATTTCTATATTTTTTTTTGTAAAAGTAATTTAAATATGAAAATAACAAAAACGGATTTCAGTTCGATCGACTTGTTATTTTCATCCTGGATAATACCAAAGATTTTTTCTTTTCAAAATTATCTGATGATATTAATATTTTAATCTGAACGGCATCAAACTGATAAGTCTGATAGCCCTAGAATACAAAAATTACAGTCCTTGAAAAATTACTGCTAAACTAAAGAAAACTTCGTAAAGTAAATTTGTATATTTATTCGAAATACCTAAAATCGCTTAGGACCCTTACACGGGGTCTATGTTAAAATATTGACCTACATTGAAATTGTTTTTAATTACCAAGAGACCTGAAAAACAAACAACTATTGTCAACCTGAAAAAGGGTGGCCATGGCTATGCCAAAACATGCCATTGACCTGGAATGGCAAATTACAGGACGATAAAATCAAAATACCGAAAAGGGGGACCGTAACCATTTTTTATGGCCAAAATATCGAAAATGTTGGATGCCATTATATGGGGGCTATACCAAAAGATGATTATTTTTGACAGGAAGGCATTTAAGGAGTACCTAAAATTTCAATATCGAGGGAAAATGCTGAATAATGGAATGGAACCCATTTCTCCTCTGAATCTCGGACCAATATTAATATTTTTTAATAAGGTGATTTTGAACCTAACAAAAATCCCAAAATATAAAATTATAGGCAATTTGGTTGATAAACATGTCCTCCCTTATATTAGGATATTGGTCCAATGAGAACCCAATATGCCAAATGGGTTGAAAAACGTTACCAAAATGCCGAATAATGGGTCGTTACCGTTATGAGGATGATCTACAAAAAATTAGTATTCACTCACTAGTCCTGACTTTTGATCCAATGTGATCCTTTTATGCTTTTTTCAATGACTGCAAGTTGTGCGTTAAAAAATTGTTCAAGGACTATTAGAAGGCCTAGATATCTTAAAAGTTCTCTTTCAAGGACTGTTAGTGTGCGTGGATTTTTAAAACATATTTTTCAAGGACTATTAAAAGACCTAAAGAAGGCGTGATTTTTATTAACATATTTTTTCAATGACTGCAAGTTGTGAGTTAAAAAAATTGTTCAAGGACTATTAGAAGGCCTACATATCTTAAAAGTTCTCTTTCAAGGACTGTTAGTGGGCGTGGATTTTTTAAAAATGATTTTTCAAGGACTATCAGAGGACCTAAATTTTTTATGAATTATTTTTCAAGAACTATCAGAAGGCGTGGTTTTCATTAACATATTTTTTCAATGATTGCAAGTTGTGCGTAAAAATTGTTTCAAGGACCAGATTTTTTAAGAATTATTTTTCGAAGACTATAAGAAGGTGTAGTTTTTTTAAGAATTTTTTTCAAAGACTATCAGAAGACATAAATTTTTTATGAATTATTTTTCAAGAACTATCAGAGGGCATGATTTTTACTAACATATTTTTTCAATGACTGCAAGTTGTGCGTTAAAAATTGTTTCAAGGACTATCAGAAATCCTAGATTTTTTAAGAATTTTTTTTCAATGACTATCAGAAGGCCTAGATATTTGAAAATATTTTTCAAGAACTAGTAGATGTTTTAGGTCTTTTAAGAATTATTTTTAATAGTGAAACGCGTTAAAAAATTCAAGGACTATCAGAAGGCCTAGATTTTTTAAGATTTTTTTTTTTCAATATTATTTCCTAAATTTTTTTTAAGAATTGTTTTTCAAGGACTCTTGGAAGTGTTGATATTAAAAGAATTATTTTTCGAGCACTATCAGAGAAGGCCTAGATTTTTTTTTAAGAATTATTGTTCAAGGACTATCGGAAGGCCTGGATTTTTTAAGAATTATTTTTCTGGGGCTCTTGGAAGGCGTTTTTTTCAATGTCAAGGACTATCAGAAGGCTTAGATGTTTAATAATTATTTTTCAAAAGCACTTATAAAGCTTGAATTTTTTGAAAATATATTTCAAGGACTATCAGATTGTTTAGGTCTTTTAAATTTTGTTTTTAATAGTGAATAACAGGTGTGTTAAACTAATTCAAGGTCTATGAGAAGGCCTAGAAAGCGAGGATTTTTTGAATATATTTTCCCGATAATGCGATTTAAAAAAACATTGGAGGGCTATATAGATATAAAAATATCAATGACTATCAGAAGACGAGTTTTTTTTTAATATTTTTCGAGGACTGTCAGAAGGGGTGGATTCTTTTTAAAAATAGTTTTTAAGGTCAGAAAGCATTGATATTTTAAAAATTATTTTTTAAGGACTACCAGATGGCCTAGAGGTTTTTTTTAAATATTTTCGAGGACTATCAGAAGGGGTGGATTTTTTTTAAAAAATAGTTTTTAAGGTCAGAAGGCATTGATATTTTAAAAATTATTTTTTAAGGACTATCAGAAGGCCTAGATGGTTTATTTTTTTAATATATTTTTCGATGACAGTCAGAAGGGGTGGATTCTTTTTAAAAATAGTTTTTAAGATCAGAAGGCATTGATATTATAAAAATTATTTTTTAAAGACTATGTTTTTTTTAATTCTTTCTTTTTTCAAGGACTATCAGTAGTCGTGAATTTTTTGATTATCACTTTTGTCTATATCACACCTTTAATGATAATTTTTTTTAGATTTAAAAAAATATTGTATTTGTACAAATTTGTATTTTATATTTACATACATCAAAATTGGTATAGAAAAATGTTTTTTGAATATTTGTTTAAGTTTTAAAGTTGATATTAAATTACTAATTTTTTTAAGATCATTCATTCATGTCAAGATGTTGATGATTTGAAATTTAGAGTTACTTTTGTGTTTAAGAAATAATTGATATTTCCAAAAATTAAACTGAAATTAAATTAATTTTAATACACATTTTAAGCTTTAAGGCATTTTCTAAAACAATGTTTAATGTGTTTTTGAAACAAACGTTTTGTCAAAACAGTATTTTTAGAGGTTATATGGCAGAATTTTGGCAACTCCTAATGTTAATGAAAACGTTTACACCTATTACAAGCTATTTCCAACCATCTGTCAATGAACGAGTTAAACCAAAATTTTTTTTTGAAATATTTACAAAATAATTTGAATAAAAATTACATATATTAAAAATATCATATCTTACGTTACATTGTTTTCCTTTTCAAAAATCTATTTCTATGTGGTATATTGCTTGTTTATGTTTGTGTATATTTTTGTGTTAAGTTCTATTAAAAAATATATGTATATAAAAAAATTATAATATATATCCATTAAACATGCCTGTTTTTTTTTTCAATTTTCATTTTTGTTCACTAATTTCATAACAACTTTTCCATTTTGTACTTCCAAACCGTAAAGGCTACCATCTTTGATTTCATTGGCCAATACCTCATCGGTAATGGCCACATGGATACCGGCTGGACCGCTAATATAAATCAATGATTTTGTATTGACATCATTATAAATGCTAGAACCGCTGCCGGAATATTTCGAATGCATACCCCAGCTATGATAGGGTGATGTATTAGTATCCATGCCCGAACCAGCATTACCATTCATCGAGTTGGACGAAGAGCCTTTGGCCACACACTCATAGAAGCCAGGTAACTTGAAAAGTTTTTGTACAAGTTCCTTGGCGGTATTGGATATGAGATAAACGGCATTATAATTAGCGCCATCCAAGCTAACGTAGAGGGTTAGACGGGGTGTTATGGCCCTGAAAGAGGATAGGCGAATGGAAATTATTACAAAACATTTATATGAAGGATATAATTGATTTCAAACTTACTTTGCTCTCAAGATGTTGAACATGCGTATACCATCAGCCAAGCCGCAGATTTGGATTAAGTCATCTTTGGACATTCTGAAAAAAAATTGAAATAGAAAAATATTTATAAATAACCTTATAAGAATATTCTTTAAAAATGATCAGAATGGGTGAATTTTCCTAAAACAAATTTTGTAAGCACTGCATGAAGGATTTTGAAAACGGAATATTTCAAGGGCTACCAAAAAAATTTCTAGATTTAACGATGGGTTTAAAAAAATATATATTTTTAAGGACTATCACAAGGCGTGGATTTTTAAAAAATATTTTTTGAAGGACCAACACAAGGCGTGGATTTTTAAAAAATATTTTTTGAAGGACCAACACAAGGCGTGGATTTTTAAAAAATATTTTTTGAAGGACCAACACAAGGCGTGGATTTTTAAAAAATATTTTTTGAAGGACCAACACAAGGCGTGGATTTTTAAAAAATATTTTTTGAAGGACCAACACAAGGCGTGGATTTTTAAAAATTATTTTTTGAAGGACCAACACAAGGCGTGGATTTTTAAAAAATATTTTTTGAAGGACCAACACAAGGCGTGGATTTTTAAAAAATATTTTTTGAAGGACCAACACAAGGCGTGGATTTTTAAAAAATATTTTTTGAAGGACCAACACAAGGCGTGGATTTTTAAAAAATATTTTTTGAAGGACCAACACAAGGCGTGGATTTTTAAAAAATATTTTTTGAAGGACCAACACAAGGCGTGGATTTTAAAAAAATATTTTTAAGATCTATCAGAAGGCGCGGATTTAAAAAAATATATTTTTAAGGACTATCACAAGGCGTGGATTAAAAAAAATATTTTTAAGGACTATCACAAGGCGTGGATATAAAAAAATATTTTAAAGGGCTATTACAAGGCGTGGATTTATTAAAAATATTTTTAAGGGCTATTACAAGGCGTGGATTTATTAAAAATATTTTTAAGGACTATCACAAGGCGTGGATTTTTTAAAAATATTTTTAAGGACTATCATAAGGCGTGGATTTAAAAAAAATATTTTTAAGGACTATCAAAAGGCGTGGATTTATTAAACATATTTTTAAGGACTATCACAAGGCGTGGATTTATTAAACATATTTTTAAGGACTATCACAAGGCGTGGATTTATTAAACATATTTTTAAGGACTATCACAAGGCGTGGATTTATTAAACATATTTTTAAGGACTATCACAAGGCGTGGATTTATTAAACATATTTTTAAGGACTATCACAAGGCGTGGATTTATTAAACATATTTTTAAGGACTATCACAAGGCGTGGATTTATTAAACATATTTTTAAGGACTATCACAAGGCGTGGATTTATTAAACATATTTTTAAGGACTATCACAAGGCGTGGATTTATTAAACATATTTTTAAGGACTATCACAAGGCGTGGATTTATTAAACATATTTTTAAGGACTATCACAAGGCGTGGATTTATTAAACATATTTTTAAGGACTATCACAAGGCGTGGATTTATTAAACATATTTTTAAGGACTATCACAAGGCGTGGATTTATTAAACATATTTTTAAGGACTATCACAAGGCGTGGATTTATTAAACATATTTTTAAGGACTATCACAAGGCGTGGATTTATTAAACATATTTTTAAGGACTATCACAAGGCGTGGATTTATTAAACATATTTTTAAGGACTATCACAAGGCGTGGATTTATTAAACATATTTTTAAGGACTATCACAAGGCGTGGATTTATTAAGGAATATTTTTTCAAGGACTATCAAGGACTATCACAAGGCGTGGATTTATTAAACATATTTTTAAGGACTATCACAAGGCGTGGATTTATTAAACATATTTTTAAGGACTATCACAAGGCGTGGATTTATTAAACATATTTTTAAGGACTATCACAAGGCGTGGATTTATTAAACATATTTTTAAGGACTATCACAAGGCGTGGATTTATTAAACATATTTTTAAGGACTATCACAAGGCGTGGATTTATTAAACATATTTTTAAGGACTATCACAAGGCGTGGATTTATTAAACATATTTTTAAGGACTATCACAAGGCGTGGATTTATTAAACATATTTTTAAGGACTATCACAAGGCGTGGATTTATTAAACATATTTTTAAGGACTATCACAAGGCGTGGATTTATTAAACATATTTTTAAGGACTATCACAAGGCGTGGATTTATTAAACATATTTTTAAGGACTATCACAAGGCGTGGATTTATTAAACATATTTTTAAGGACTATCACAAGGCGTGGATTTATTAAACATATTTTTAAGGACTATCACAAGGCGTGGATTTATTAAACATATTTTTAAGGACTATCACAAGGCGTGGATTTATTAAACATATTTTTAAGGACTATCACAAGGCGTGGATTTATTAAACATATTTTTAAGGACTATCACAAGGCGTGGATTTATTAAACATATTTTTAAGGACTATCACAAGGCGTGGATTTATTAAACATATTTTTAAGGACTATCACAAGGCGTGGATTTATTAAACATATTTTTAAGGACTATCACAAGGCGTGGATTTATTAAACATATTTTTAAGGACTATCACAAGGCGTGGATTTATTAAACATATTTTTAAGGACTATCACAAGGCGTGGATTTATTAAACATATTTTTAAGGACTATCACAAGGCGTGGATTTATTAAACATATTTTTAAGGACTATCACAAGGCGTGGATTTATTAAACATATTTTTAAGGACTATCACAAGGCGTGGATTTATTAAACATATTTTTAAGGACTATCACAAGGCGTGGATTTATTAAACATATTTTTAAGGACTATCACAAGGCGTGGATTTATTAAACATATTTTTAAGGACTATCACAAGGCGTGGATTTATTAAACATATTTTTCAGGACTATCACAAGGCGTGGATTTATTAAACATATTTTTAAGGACTATCACAAGGCGTAGATTTAAATACAAAAAAAATATTTTTAAGGACTATCACAAGGCGTAGATTTAAATACAAAAAAAAATATTTTTAAGGACTATCACAAGGCGTTGATTTAAATAAAAAAAAAATATTTTTAAGGACTATCACAAGGCGTGGATTTAAATACAAAAAAATATTTTTAAGGACTATCACAGGGCGTGGATTTAAGTACAAAAAAATATTTTTAAGGACTATCACAATGCGTGGATTTAAATACAAAAAAATATTTTTAAGGACTATCACAAGGCGTGGATTTAAATACAAAAAAATATTTTTAAAGGACTATCACAAGGCGTGGTTTTAAAAAAATATTGTTAAAGGACTATCACAAGGCGTGGTTTTAAAAAAAAAATATTTTTAAAGGACTATCACAATGCGTGTATTTATTAAAAATAATTTTTCAATGACTTAAAAAAGGCTTGAATTTATTGAAAATTATTTTTCAATGACTTAAAAAAGGCTAGAATTTATTGAAAATTATTTTTCAATGACTTAAAAAAGGCTTGAATTTATTGAAAATTATTTTTCAATGGCTAAAAGTAGGTTTGGGCACGTGGATGCTTGGACACTCACCTCATAATATCAGCTCCCGAGAACTGTGCAAATGTTGACAAATATGCCGTCAAACGATGATAGGTCAACCACTGGGTAACCTGTACTGGTGTAGACTCTGGCATTATGGTAATGGAATTCTAAAATAAACAAAAAAAAAAAAATACAAAAACAACAAATTATTATATAAATTTCCTCTCAAAACTCTCAGGAAATCCTCTACTTACATATTCATCAATATCGGTGGCCATTACCGATGGTGGTGGTGCCACCACCATATTTGTGTCCATTATTTTCAAATTGGGCGAATTCGTCGAGGAGACACTATTAATGGCTATGGGACTAGCACTGGCATTGGGCGAAGCACTAGCATAGGGTAACATGCCATCATATTTTGGAATGTGAACTGGCGAATTTGGCCAAATTTTCATGCTGGAAAACAAAAATGTCAACAAAACAAAATGATTAATAATAAAAAAAAAATACAAATAAACAAAATAATCAAAATAATTTTGGTGCGTAAATTTTCCACAATTGTTATTTGATTTCCGTTTTATTTTTAATTAAAAATAATCAAATATAAAGAAGAAGAAGAATCAGAAAAAACACCTTTTGTTGAATGCCTGGAGAACATGGTGTCAGTCAGCAGCAGCAGTCATGATGTTGTTTACTAAAAATTAAATGAAATATTTTATCGTTCAGTGTCGGCGTCGTCGTTTGTATGCCTCATCCTCAACAGCAACAATAGAACAGAATTACAACAACATTATGTGTCCATTATTATGTCTCCACTTTTCGCTGCTCAGCTTGTTGTCATTTGCTCTCTCTTTGGATTACGACTTTGGCAGCTACAGCAGCTGCTGCTGAGCTGAGCTGCGACAGCGAAGCTTGCCACTATGTTATAAAACCTAAACCGGTTAATAGCAATTGTTGTAAACAAGAACACACCAACAACAAAAGTTGTTGTCAACAAGCCACGTTAAAACATCTGTAAGCTGTTCTAAAGTAAAATGTAAATCAATTGTTGACTTAAAACCGGTGGCAAACTATTACACTGAGAGAAAAGACATAGAGGTGGGGAACAGGTATTCTATCGAAAGAAGTGAGGACTTCTATTAAAACTTAAACATAACTTTCCAATTAGTCTACATACAATATGGCAACTTTATGAAATATGGCGTATTCCAAACCTCGAAATATTCGTCGGAGACCCTATATAGTATCTGTCTATAATTCGTCTGTCTGTTGAAATCACATTAGGTTGTCGCAATGTTTATGTTAGAGCTTTGAAATTTTGCACATAGCTAATAATCCAAGGTTGTTGGGAATTGAAAATGGGATATGTCGGTCCACGACTTGGCATTTTTTAAATCGAAGTGTATGTATATTGACACTCCGGGTTTTTGAAGGGTAAAGCAAATATTTGCTGAAAAAGATTTTTGTCAATCCTCGACTTCGATTGGCCTATGAAAAAGTATAGTGTAACGGACCTCTCGTAGGACGTCAAAGAAACAGGCCTATAGTAGGTGGTTAATGAAACGGGCCCCACGTTGGGCGCCAATTAAACTGGCCTTTTGTAGGGCGTTAATGAAACGGGTCCAACGTTGGGCGCCATATAACAGGCTCCTCGTTGATCGTTAATTAAACGGGCTCCACGTAGGGCGCCAATGAGACAGGCCTATGGTAGGGCGTTAATGAAACAGGCTATGTTGGGTGTGTGCGATACGAGCTTGCTTCGCAATTTGTAGCGATTCATAAATAATAACGAGGATTTGGTTCTTTTGAAATAAACACGTTATTAATGAAGATTCCGGAATGAGGGACTTCTAGTATTATCTTTGGTCTTTTATACCCTTTTCTGGGTTAACAAAAATATGTTTATCGCTATCGATAATATTCTTAAAAGATCGATAACATTCTAAAATTATTTACAGAGTTTCAGTTACAGTTTTATACTCTACACAACTATGATGTCAGGGTATTATAGCTTTGTGCAGCCCCAAGAGTTTGTAATGCCGCGAAATATTGGTCCTAGACCCACCTTCAAGTATACCGATCGTCATATCTCGACTAGCTGAATCGATCTAGACATGTGTGTCCGTCCGTCCGTCCATTATAATTTGTAAACACAATACAAGCCACAGTTATGGACCAATCGGCACGAAATTTTGCATGCAGCATGGGTTCTGGCCAATGAAGACCTCTATTGTTTTTGGAAAATATCGGTTGATATTTAGGGGGTGAAATGCACCAAATACTTAATTTTTATCGGCTTTTCTGGTCGCACAAGAGGCCGCAATTATGACCAAAACATCGCCATATTTTACATGGAGAAGGGGATCGGGCCAAAGAATAAGCCTGCCTGTTTTGATAAAGATCGGTCAGTATTTACCGGGTCAAATGGACCCTGACTTTTGTGTGAAAAAATTGTATTATATGGCGTATATATTTACGCGTGGAGGACATAGGCCCGAGATATATACAAGAGGAATGGTTGACCTTTAAATTGACACCAATTATATTGTCGTATGTACTCGGATGTGGGAGTTACACTCAAATATTTACATTTCCGTATGCGAAAATATAGCGCTGATCGCTTTGAAATTTTCCATGAGGATCCAGATTTGGTCAAGGACAACGCCTATAATTTTCGGTGATGATCAAATAATAATTTTGGGATGAAGTGGACCGGAAACTTAATTTTTTGTGTGTGTTTTTTTCGAGTCGACGTCTTGCTATATAATTTATAATGTAGATGAACATATTTTGACATATCCCCCAAATAAGGGTACCGACCGAATATAGGTATTTAAAAATTCGGCCTAAGAGTGGACGATTTTAAAATTTCGCACAGGAAGAATTTAGCGACATTTTCACGTATTGAAATTAATATTTCAGTTTTAAATCCAAAGAGTGGAAGATTTAAAAACTTCGGACTGGGAGGACATGACGGAGTTTAAACGCGTCCGTACTTAGGTATTGTGAATCAAATACAGGTCGCATTTATGAAACGAATTCGTTGAAACTTGGTACACCTCACTTCTGTGGAACAAGGACGAACACTATTGGCGAAAATCGGGTCATATTTATGTATAGCTATAATATATATTCCTTCGATTCCACAAATAATACACCAAACACCCAAAGTTTATAAGATTGAGACGAAATTTTGGCATAACGTACTTAAGTGAGCCTACACAGAAAAAAATAATTCGTACATTATACGAATAGGGTTCAGAATGTGTTGGGATTTTTGTATTTTATGAATGCATTTCCTAAAACTTTAAATACTGGTGTCTTGTCAGAGAGAGAGAGAGAGAGAGAGAAAGAGTAAAAAAAAACCTTGGAGTGTGTGCGTTTGGTTGTGCATGTTTTCGTTTGGGCTTGTTATTCGTATATTGTATTTAGTATTTATATCGAAATAATTTGGAAAATACATATGCGAATTTTGTAACACCAATGCAGAGGTGGTGGAGAAATTGGAGTAGAAACAGTAGTTAAATAAACGGTTCCAAAAACAAGAACCACCATGTAAGGCTATTGACGGAGAGCGATACCAAAACAAAACACTGCCGAGCAATGAATGGTAGTGGTGTTTTTTTCCTTGGGAGGAATACATTCGTTTTTTGTCAAAGAAAGATAGAGTGAGAAAAATTAAGCCAAATAGTGGTAAAGTAGAACGCAGTAGGAAAATAGATGTAATATTAATGAAAAGTTAAAATTTTTTGAAAAAAAAAATAGTTCAAAGTGAGGTACATGTACAATATGGAAAACAGTTAACTATGAACGAAATTGTGAAAATATTCATTAATTTTCTCCCTCTTTCTCTCTTCATCTAAATAATGCATCAAACTTCCAAGGTTTGTTCGATTGCGATGATATTTGGCATAGCGTACCGTATTGACTTTACAATGACGTGGATTCGCTTTAAATCGGTTCTGGTCTACCAAACGACTGTTAATTCGCAGCGAACTGATCATATGATATTCCACTTTTTTCTGCCTAATATTAAATAATACGATTTGTGGTTTCAACAAGACGGTGCCACATGCCACACAAATCAAGCGAAAATTTCTTGGTCTGTGTCAAAAAGTGGTCGAAAATTACCTCAAAAGAATCGATACTCGAAACAATTTGCGTGAAGGTCATGTATGTAGTGTAAAAAGTGATTCAATAATTTATTTTGATCCCTGCCTTTCTCTCCAGACCTTTTTTTCGCGGTGTATGTCCATATCAAACAATTTACATTGTAAAACGCCTCTTCTCTTCTAAGGTAAACAGTATTGTTTTTTGTGAAAACCGGATGATTTGCTATTTGCAATGGTATGTAGATTAATTGCGCCATGACTACGACAAATATGCTGCGCAATTTAGTATATGAGAAAATCTAGCTCATGGCCTGGGGTGTGGGAAAATTTCTTTTGGAGAATTTTTGGTATAGAGGATTTGCCAAAATACAAAATAATAGCCCTTGGCATTATAGGGGGCCCATCGTACCAAACTGATTAGCTTAAAACATTCGTGTCCTAAAAGCTTCAAAATATCGAATAATGGAGAGTTCCTAAAAAAGTGGATCCATATTGATTGCACTCCACCTTATGGTGGAGGCAATAAATAAGTTATAACAAAAAAAAGCACATAATTGACATCCAGATCTTTTAAAAATCCGAGCCTGCATCTTTTCAAACATCCAAGTAAAGGAGCTTTTTTTTAAATACATGCATATGTCCACTCCAGGACATTCAGGATCAGTATATATTTTTTTTTTATTTTTAAAATCTAGTAGTCTATGTCATAGTCTGCCCGCCTCTAAATATAGAAACAACATCTTATATTTCATTTAATTACAAATTAGTAGAATTAAATACCAATAGAGATACATTCAATTTTAAAAATATTTAAACAATTATTATTGCAATTCAAAACTATGACCTAACGAATATAATCTGAGTCCTAAAATGCGGGATCTTTTTAAAAATTCAGATTGTCTTTGTTTAGAGGAACCCCCTATTCTCGGTTTCAAAAAATCTATTTATACCCTACACAACTATGTTGTCAGGGTATTATAGCTTTGTGCAGCCCCAAAAGTTTGTAACGCCGCGAAATATTGGTCCTAGACCCACCTTTAAGTATACCGATCGTCATATCTCGACTAGCTGAGTCGATCTAGACATGTGTGTCCGTCCGTTCGTCTGTCCATTATAATTTGTAAACACGATATAGGCCACAGTTATGGACCAATCTTCACGAAATTTTGCATGTAGGATGGGTTCTGGCCAATGAAGACCCCTATTGTTTTTGGGAAAGATCGGTTAATATTTAGCGGATGAAATGGACCAAATACTACATTTTTGTCGGTTTTTCTGGTCGCTTCAGAGGCCGCAATAATGGCCCGAACATCGTGAAATTTTGCATGGAGAAGGGGATCGGGCCAAAGAATAAGCATGCTTGTTTTGATAAAGATTGGTCAATATTTGTATGCTATAGCGTATATAATTACCCCTGAATGACATAGACCCGAGAAGTTGATATTATATCCAAGAGGAGTGGTTGACCTTTAAATTAATACCAATTATATTGTTGTATGTGCTCGGATGTGGCAGTTACACCTAAATATTTACAGGAATCTCCGTATTCGTATATTATTTAGTAACCCATTATCACTCTAGAGAGCGGAACTATAGCGCTGATCGTTTTGAAATGTTCCATAAGATTCCAGTTATGGTCAAGGACAACGCCTATAATTTTCGATGATGATCAGATAATTATTTTGGAATGAAGTGGTATATATATAGACCACAAATGAAAGCCGAACATCACAAAACAACCCACGGTGAAGGGAATCTGGACAATAGCTGTACTGAATACTCGTAATATTCGGAAAATATGTCAGCGTGAGGAAGAGGTGCTGTTTACCTCTAATCGGGTAGGAGGATGCAAATATCACGAAATATTGCCCAGGCTCGGAATAAACATCCGCAGAAAATTTGAGTTCCGTGGTATTTGTGTAGGGTATCGTATGGTCGGCCCCGTCCGACTATACTGCTCCGCTCACTGGTTTTTATTTAATTTGAACTTATAACTTCTCAAGAATATCTCCATAAAATTCCAAGTCCAAATCTCAAAAACTCTTAAAACTATAGCCGATTTATTGTGTCAGCAATAGGCGAGCGCAAAAGTCGAATTTTGGGTTTTTCGATTTTTGACAAAAGTCGATTTTTAGACTTTTTTATTTTTGGACCTACACAGCTATCGTATGAACTAGGATAAATGTAATCGTTAAAGATCTTCCTTATTTTCCAGATTGGTTTTTATCAAAAATTGGCGATTTTCGAGCAAAGTCAAAATCCTAATTCATTCCAGAGCCAGATATCAGTGCTGAATTCACTCAATAATTAAGGCTTGTGTCTTAGAAAAAATCAATCCCTATCAGACCTGGGCCATTTTTGAAATATAACTTAAATTCTGACCTGTGTCATTTTTGAACATTTTAACAAAAATACAGGGTATGTCCGTTGGTAAATCCAAATTTTTGTACTTTTTGCAAAATCTAGGCTCGGAATAGGGCAGATATGGACTCCTTCAAAAATACAGGCCTGTGTCAATTAAAAATCAAAATAAAAAGACTCAGGGTACTTCTAAAAATCCGAGATCTTAGTTATTAATGATGGGCTATTTAAATATCACGGCTTGGGCCAACGTTTAATTTGTTCTGTAAAAATTCAAACCATTTTTTTTAAATCCAGGACTTCCTATAAAAACTTTTATAAAAGAATTAAAATCGCTAAAAAATTTAGACCAGGTCCAGGTTTAAAATTCTCTGACCCTTTTAAAAAATGTCTAAATACCATTTAGGCTTATGTGAAGTTATTTCCCACCTCAATACAATCCAAATTATCATAATAAACTATGATAATGCCTATAAAAAATCGGAATTAATTTCTAATTACTTTTCAAGTGTTGCGTCTTTAAATAACGAAAAAAAAATAATAATAAAATTGATAAATGGCGATAGTAATAAAATTATGACGCCACTAGCGGGTCTTACGTATTCAAGCATTTTTCCACTTGATTACAACCCGCGGACCTCACGCCTACACTTTCATCCACACCACACCACATGTTTGTATAATTTATTAACACATGTGAGATTGTTGGCAAAAAAAGAAAACATTCTAATAGCTTCGATAGAGAAATGAGCGGGTTTTGTAGTTTCACAATATTCCATTTCAGAATTTCCTCCCTCAAACCCCATCTCCGAAACTTCATCTTCCTCTGGAGGTGATTCAAGCCGCAATTGTATTTTCTTAATGTGAATTCATCATCTCAGTATTCGTAATATTTTTTTTCTTGTCTTAATTAATGAATCATTTTAATTAATTAAAAAATGCACTGCAACATCATGTCTGATCACGAATAATAGTTGTTATATTTAATTCATTCTTGATTATAAAATTTAAAAATTAAAAAAAAAAAACAAAAACGGGGACTTACTATTCGGGACTGAAACAACCAGCGCCACTGGTGGTTGTTGGTGTTGTAATCAAGTCCAATGGTATATCCGTCATTATGGTACACTCGTAACTTGGTTGGAATTTATCCTGTTCGGACTGGGGACGTTTTTGGATTTTTTCACGATCCTGTTTGTGTTTGCGATCGGCACCTTTTAATTTGAAAACCTAAAGAAATGGGGAAGAGAGCAAAGAAAGAGAAGGGAGTTAGGAGATAAATAAGCCATTTAATATTGAAAAAAAATCTTAACGAAAGTTGAAATTTTTAACGACGTTAAAATGTGTGGTAAAAAATTTTGAACGAAAGTTAGAAAATTTTTACGAAAGTTAAAAAATTGTTACGAAAGTTAAAAAAATTGTTACGAAAGTTAAAAATTTGAACTGCAGTAGAATTTGTTTGACGAAAGTTAAAATTTTGAACTATCGTTTAATTTTTTTAACAGAAGTGAAATTTTCAACTTTTTTTGGTAGTAACGAAAGTTAAAAATTTCAACTATAGTTGAAAAATTTTTAACGAAAGTTATAATTTTAACTTTAATTTAAATTTTTAATGAAAGAAAAAAAATAACTATCGTTGATTTTTAAACGAAAGTAAAAACAAATTAAATACTGTGAACATTCTTTGGCGAAATTTAAATCATTAACAGATTTTAACGAAAGTTAAAAATCAATCAAAAATTACATTTGAAAATTTTTAAATGAAAATTTATTTTTTTAACAAAAGTTAAAATTTATTTTTTTTTTAATTTTCGTTAAAAATTTAAGATTTTAATTTTTGTTAAAAATTTCAAAGTTGAATTTTCGATAAAAATTTGAACTTTAGTTAAAAAATTATCTATCCTTAAAATTTTTAATTTCCGTTAAAATTAAAAATTCATTCAAAAATCTTAACGAAAGTTGAAATTTAAATTACATTTGAAATTTTTTAAAGGAAATTTAATTTTTTTTAACGAAAGTTAAAATTTAAATTTTTTTGAACGAAAGTTAACATAAATTTTAATTTTAGTTAAAAAATTTAAATTTCGTAAAAATTTAAAATTTGTATTTTCGTTAAAAATGTAAAAATTTGAACTTTCGTTAAAAATAAAAAAAATATATAACTTTCGTTAAAATGTTAAACTTTAGTTAAAGAAATTTAAAACATTTTGTTTAAAATTTCGTTAAAAATTTAAGATTTTTATTTTCGTTAAAAATTTAAGATTTTAATTTTCGTTAAAAATTTCAAAATTGAATTTTCGTTAAAAATTTGAACTTTAGTTAAAAAAGTATCTATCATTAAATTTTTATTAATGATTATTATTTTAATTTCCGTTAAAATTAAAAATTCATTTAAAAAAATTTAATTTAGAATTTTCCTCAAAAAATTATTATTTTAGTTTTTGTTAAATATTTAAATTATCATTAAAAATTCACAGTCTGAATTTTCGTTAAAAATTTAAAAGAATTCAAAAATTTATCTTTCGTTAAAAAAAATAAAATTTGAATTTTCGTTCAACATTTGAAATTTGAATTTTTGTTAAAATTTTTAGATTTGATTTTCGTTAAAAATTTTAGATTTTAGTTTTCGTGGAAAAATTAACCTTTAGTTCAAGAATTAAAAAAAAAATTACTTTTATTAAAAAAGTTTAGTTCAAGTATTCAATATTTGAATTTTCGTTAAAAATTCCATCTTTGAATTTTCGTTAAAAATTCAATATTTGAATTTTCGTTAAAAATTCAATATTTGAATTTTTGTTAAAAATTCAATATTTGAATTTTCGTTAAAAATTCAATATTTGAATTTTCGCTAAAAATTCAATATTTGAATTTTCGTTAAAAATTTTAAATTTGAACTTTAGCCAAAAAAATTAAAAAAAAAATTAAATTAAATTAAAATTTTAACGTTCGTTTAAAAATTTTTACTTTAAATTTTGGATTGAAAAATTTAAACTTTGGAATTTCGTTAAAAATTTAATATTAGAATTTTCAAAAGTTCGTTAAAAAATCAAAGTTTTAAATTTCTAGTTAAAAATTCAAGATTTTAAATTTCGTTGAAAAAATAAAATTTTGACTTTTCGTTAAAAAATTTTATTTCAGGCTTTCGTTAAAAAATCGAAATTTTAAATTTCGTTAAATTTTTTTAACTTTATTTACATTTTTTAAAAAATGAACATTAACATTACCATTTAGTTAAAAATCCAAGATTTTAAATTTCGTTAAAAGTTTAAATTTTGACTTTTCGTTAAAAAAATTTAATTTCAGGCTTTCGTTAAAAAAATCAAAATTTTATATTTCGTTAAATTTTTTAACTTTAAAATTAACATTCGTTAAAAATTCACAATTTTAATTTCGTTACAAATTCAACATTTCATGTCAATAAAAAAATCCAAATTTTAACATTCGTTAATTTTCGTTAAAAATTTAATATTCGAAATTTTGAAAGTTCGTTAAAAATTCAAAGTTTCAAATTTTTAGTTAAAAGTTTAAGATTTTAAATTTCGTTAAAAATTTAATTTTGACTTTTCGTTAAAAAATGTAATTTCAGGCTTTTGTGTCAAATTTCCAAAATTTCATGTCATTTAAAAATCCAAATTTTAACTTTCGTTAAAAATGCATCATTAAAAATTTCAATGTAAAATTCCGAATTTTACTTTCATTAAAAATCTTACATTTGTTAAAAATTTCAAATAAAACATTTATTAGAAAAAATCTAAGTTTTACATTTGGTCAAATTTTCAAAATTTTTATTTTCGTTAAAAAATTCAAAAAATTATTTTTTATGTCGTTAAATTTTTTTATTTTGAAATTTTGTTTTTTTATTTAAAAATTAAACTTTTTCGTTAATTTTTTGTTTTTATTTATTTATTATTTTTTTTTAATTTTCTTAATTCTCGTTAAATACTCAAAACTCACCTTAACTTGACAAGCTGCTGCATGGATTGGCATCGGTTTGCCGCCATTCAACAACAGGCCATTCGGTGTCAAATTTCCAGCTTGGCTGCGGGGCGATGCTCCGGCACCGGCTCCAGCAACAAGTCCCGCCGTTATAGCTGCTGCTGCACCCAATGGTGAGGGTGGGGCAGCAACACTACCAATTGGTGGTGTTTTTGTTCCCGAACCTGGCAAATTCTGGTTGCTGCCGATATTGTGGAATGGTGTTGGTGTTACAGTTGCTGCTGTTGTTGTTGTTGTATTACTATTCTCGATATATGTCTCGATTTGTAAACGAAATGGTACGCCTTTTTCGCCACCGTGTTTCTTTGGCGTAAACTCGGTCGATATACAGTTGACCTTGATGTAAACGCCGACCTCTTTCATGGGATCCCAAAAGATCTCGACCGTATTCAAATAGTTCGGATTCAATGGCTGGGAGACATGGCACAGGCCATAGGAGAGTGGCAAGTCAACTTCGATGATACGCTCGCCGGGACGTGAGGCCTGCCATTGTTGCATTTGTTCACGTTCCATATATTGTAGACGGCGCTCATGGAAGCATATTTTGATAACGCTCTGCAATGAAAACGAAAGGAAGAAGAACAAGAATCAGAATTATAACAACGTTGATCAGCAATCAATGAAATATGACGACGACGATGATGACGATGGTAGAGGCGAAATCATAAGTGGAACTGTTTATAAGTTTTATCAAGTTGGGTGCATGTATGTATGTGTTGGTGTGTGTGTGTGTGCGTTTGCCTAGTGACTAATTGATTTGTATTTAGACAAGCATAAAATTGACTACTTCTTTATGAGAAACAAAAAAAAAAAGAAAACAACTTTATTAACAATAATAAAAATAATTCCTAAAAAACAAAATAATTGAAATCTATATGAATTTGACCTCTTTTAATCAAAATGTTGTCCTCAATGAGTGACTGATTGTTTGACTGCCACTTGGATATTGAAATTGTTTTGTCATGTGGCATCATTGCTCATCGCTATCGTCATCATTGTTTTTGTTTTTGTCTTTGTTTTTTTTTTTAATCATGTGAAAACTAACTCTTTAGAAATTTCCTTATTTTCACACTTAGAAAATATGGAATTTTTTCTTTCTATCCTCCCAAGAAATTTCACGTGATACTCAGGCACAGAAAAAAATAATTCGTATATTATATGAATAGAGTTCAGAAAGTGATGCCAATATCTGGAATTCTGCATTTTATGAATATAATTCATAGAATTTTAATTACTAGTTTCTTATCAGAGAGAGAGAGAGAGAGAGAGGGAGATGTTATTCATCTTCTTTGTTGTGTCGTTTTTTCTTATTATTTCGTTTATTCATATATTTTATATTTATATGGAAATAATTTGGAAAATGCATATGCGAATTCTAAAGCGTCAAATAAAGCATCGTCTGAAATAAAGAAACAATGGAATACGAGGTAACCTCAATCGAGTGAGTGGAGAGACATAGGTTGTTAGCAAGAGAGGCAATTCCCAGTGAGGGGAGTTCTTAAAAAACACAACCGAACAACGAATGGTTGTGGTGAATTTCATTACGAAGGGATACATTTGCTTTTGCCAAAAGAGAGAGAGGAAAAATGAGCGCGAATGGAGGTAAAGTAGAGCGAAGTAGGATAATAGTTTTGATATTTTATTTTTTTTTGGGAAAATAGTAGACTTCTCAACACTTCTTTGTTGTTGTTGTAGCAACTAACTACATGTTTGTTGTATTAAATTAATCTGGTTCTGACTCCTCTGTTTCCAGGTTCAGGAAGGTTGCAATCTGTAACGGCTGCGTGCAAAGAGATTCTGGAGACAGATGAGTGGGTTTAGCAGGACAGTTAAAGAGATGCAGCGTATCGTGAGGTCCAAAATCACATGCAGGGCATGTGTTTGGTACCGCGCTGTCAATTTGGGCCCAATACAAATTAAGGCGGCTGCACCATCCTGATCTTAGTTGGGCTAAAACCACTCTCGTTTGTCTTGGCAGCTGTCGTTCTTCTGCTGCTATAGGTGGTGGGTGGACTCCAAGTACTTCATTCACACGATATTGGTCCATTGCCTGGGTAACTGCTTCCGTGTGAATGTTGGTAATTCCTGCTCGATAAGCCTCACGATATAGGGGCTCTCTTTTATACCGTTGGACCTCTCTCTCTCTAGATCATGTACGTGCCTGGGTGGGGGAATTCTATCCATAAGATTAAGGCATGGATGATTCCTGCGATAACACCCAAGCAGGTACTGCATCGACAACATCCTGTTGTGACGATTCTTTTGATATATTGTATTTGGTATTTATATGGAAATAATTTGGAATTCTATCCATAAGATTAAGGCATGGATGATTCCTGCGATAACACCCAAGCAGGTACTGCATCGACAACATCCTGTTGTGACACTTCTTTTGATATATTGTATTTGGTATTTATATGGAAATAATTTGGAAAATTCATATGCGAATTGTACAAAAGGTCGGCAGGAGTGTCTGAAATAAACAATGGTATGTGAAACTAACCGCAATCGAGTGCGTGGAGAGACGTAGATTGTTAGCAAGCGAATCACTCGTCAAACAAATGGTTACCAAATTAACAACAACCAAGTAAGAGGAGAGGCGGAGAGCGATACCTAAAAAACGCAGGCGAACAACGAATGGTTGTGGTGTGTTGACAATACATTTGTTTTTGCCAAAAGAGAGAGGAAAAATGAGCACAAATAGAAGTAAAGTAGAGCGAAGTAGGAAAATAATTTTGATATTAATGAACACTTTACATAATTAGAAAAAAAATCATATACAAACGTAAACATTCGATTGAATTTGTAGCTCGTATCAACACTTGTTTGCTATATTGTATTTGACATTTATATGAAAATAATTTGGAAAATGCATTTGCGAATTGTACAGCATCAATGAAGAGGACGGTAGCAGTGTCCGTAATAATGAAATAATGGAATGCGAAACTAACAACGAATGGTGTGGTGTGTTTTTTGTTGACAATACATTCGATTTTGCCAAAAGAGAGAGGAAAAATGAGTAAAGTAGAGCGAAGTAGAAAAATAGTTTTGATATTAATGAACATTTTGCATATTTAGGAAAAAATAGCAGTTTTCTCATAGAAAATTCATATACAAATGTAAACATTCGATTGAACTTGTAGCTCGTATCAACACTTGTTTGCTATATTTTATTTGACATTTATATGAAAAAAAAAAAATGGAAAATGCATATGCGAATTGTACAGCATCAATGAAGTCGATGGTAGCAGTGTCTGTAATAATGAAATAATGGAATGCGAAACTAACAACGAATGGTTGTGGTGTGTTTTTTGTTGACAATACATTTGTTTTTGCCAAAAAAGAGAGGGAAAAAATGAGCGCATATAGATGTAAATTCGAGCGAAGTAGGAAAATAGTTTTGATATTAATGAAAAGTTTACATATTTGGAAAAAATTGTGGCTTTATCATGAATATAAGAATTGTTACTTGTAGTTTAAGAGGTACTTAGTACAATATGGAAAAAAATAAGCTATGAATGACATTATGAAATATTGATTATATATTATTTCTGTGCGTGAATTGATATGAACGATAAAATAGAAGAGAAGAACAAATGTAAATTTTTTGAGAATAGAAAAAATTTTTATATTCCGTAGTCATTTTATAAAAATCCAAACACTAAAGAATATTTCGTAGCAAGTTGGAGAGCATGCAGAAGGCACTCTCCCCCTTGGTGAGGGGCGAAACCATAACCCCCGCGAAGCTCCCCAGGGGGCCACATCAACTGTCAGGCTGGATCGACAGATCCAGGGGCACCTGACACCCGCGGTACGGAAAACCTCCGCTCAGGCTCGAGACCGAAGCCTCTCACAGTTTGACGCACGTCCGGACTGGTATGCCAAAACAACAATAAGCAACGGTGATAACCGCAAGTGGCAGGTAAAAACCTGGCCACAAGCAGTGACAAATACACACATAACATACAATTAACATGCTGTCCTCACGGACAGCACAAAGGGCCCAAAGGACCGCGGCATCGGACATCACAACACAAACACTGAACAAAACTGCCCTCACGGACAGCCTACACTACATCCACAGGACGAGTGAAGCACAAGAAGTGGAAACCACGAACCACCCACGATGCACAGACAAACGCAGGCAGCACGTACACCAACTACAACCGCCGAAAACCGCACCAAGACCGGCACACGGTGCACCTACACACCACCACCCGGTGCAACCGACCAAACCCAACTGCAAGGGGGCTATGCACGAGGACCACCTCCGCTAAGTACAGTCCTTCTCCTAAATGTTTCACGAGCAAAACTACTTAAACCACTAAAGGTCCGATCGTCTTCAAGAGCCCTACTGAAATCCCACCCCGTACCTCCATTCGATATACCCATACTTGCTAAATATCTAATGTCATAATAGTAACAGCATTCCGTCAGTATATGCTTCCAGTCCTCAGTCATCCCGCACCCACATAAATCCGTCTGGGCTAGGCCTCTCTTATGCAGAAATGCATTGAGAGAACCATGCTTATACATAATAGCCCTACATCTCACTTCAAGATCAAGCGGCGCGGCGCCAAGCAGCACCCGCAACGCCTCTGTTGAAACAGTGCGACACACTGGCAAGCACGCTAACATGACGACCCGCTGACACGAAAGGAGCTTCTTCTGCCCAAAAAATTGTTTTCTACAGACGCCAAGTAAATATTCTTTTGGGATATCAGAACGTTTTGTCATTGGAGTGTATTTTTATAACCTAAGCCTTATGGGTTGTGAGGTTATGACCAATTAAAAAAAGTGTTTAATCGAAATATTAGTTTTCGGCCCCAAGTTTTTTTGGACAAATACATTTCGGCCAGTTTGAATTCGACTTGTCCGAAGAGGCGTCAGTTCATTTCTTCTGGTACATCTCCCAAAAAGTGCCAATATTTTAAAAAAAATTGTAAATTGTTATGTATTGTTATTATGTGTATTCTAAATCCTATATCAATCGAGTGGTGTGTACGATTTTATCCAAGCAGTGCATATCGTAATATTTTTAACAAACATAGATCAAAAATGTTTTCG